CTCCGATCCTTCTTCAGAGCGCTCAATTCTTTCTCCAATTTATACACATGATTCTTCATTGAAAATTCAAGCTCCTTCAGTATTTCGTCAATTACCTCTTCCAATTAATATAAAAGCTCCTTCAGTTCATCCTCCAATTGATGTGTACTTGAGAAATCAAGCTTCAAAATATAAGGTATCCCTCTAATTCACACACTTTTGAGAAGCAAACTTCTGATTCTTCTTCAGAGCTATTCCAATTTCTTTATTACCATTTATTTGGTTAGATAATTTTGATTATATTTCTTTTAAAACTTTATTATTATTTTTATTAACTTCTGCCAGGACTGTTTGAAAAATATTTCAAAATTAAAAAATTGCCGTTAATAAATTTTTAAATAACATTTTTTTTTTTTTTTTTTGTATCTTAACATAAGAAATATAAAGATTAAATTAGAAATTTTTAATTTAAAAAAAAATAATTTTTATTATATCAATAGAAAGGGGAAAATCTAAAATTTCTATCAAAAATTTTTTATTGTTCCAGTCATGTGTACAAAATTAGCTTAGTAACATAAAAATTTCAGATTTTGCTTTTTACTGACTTTCTCCTATATATTGAATTTAATTTTATGAAGATAATAAAATAGAACAACTTTCAATTTCAAAAATAAATGTATATGAGATAAAATAAAAGAGAACATTTATAAAAACTAAAATACTAAAATAGTAATTCATTGCAATTTATATACATAGTACTTTCAACCATAAAGATTGTTATACTAACAACTTTAGATAAATCATTTTAATATGATATAAGAAAAAAGCAAAACATTTAATTTCATATTATATTCAATTTTGACTATTATTATCAAATTTACTATAAAAAGTAATAAAAATATAATTTTATATTTATAAAAATTCTCATTTTTATAAGACTGATAAATATATTAAAATATTTTATTAATTATTTTTATTATTAAAATATATCAAAAAAACTTTTTTGTGTTTAAATATTATAATCAAATCTGGTTTAAAAATAATTATATAATTTTTATTAATTTCTTAATAAATATTCAATATTTCAAATATAAATAATTTATATTTAAAATATATTTAGATTTAGAAAATATATTATTAGATTATAAATCAATATAATTACATTTTTATTTATCTATATCATACTATTATTTATTATATTTTTTACTTATCATTATTCAAACTTATTATTTTTTAATATATAATATTCTATTATTAATCATAAATTATAAAATTAGTTTAATATTAAAATTAGAAATAAACCAGTTATAATTTATTTTAGATTAATTATAATTTATATTATTAGTATAAATATAAAATAAATGTAATATAAATAATATAGTATAATAATAAAAATTATATTTATAATAAAAATATATACTCAAAACTTATTATAATGAACTTTTAATTCTATTTACTATAATAAATACAAAATAATTTTTATAATGAATATCATATAAATAAAAAATTTTTTTATAATATGTTTTTTTTAATTTTATTATTTGAATATATAATATTACATAAATTATATAATATAGATTACTTTATATTATCTTAAATGTTAATTTTTAATTTTAAATATTAAGAATTTCAACTTTATATAATTAATTAAAATATTATCAACCAGATTTTTAAAATATTGAACTATTCTTTTCAAGCTATTTAAAGCTTTTTTATTAGTAATAATATTTATTTTAATTCACTATCCTCTTTTATATTATTTTTTTTAAGATTTAAAAGTATTGCAATTATAAATTTTTCATTTGATAATAATTTTACTGATATTTTATTATTAATATAAATAGATTATTTAGCTATAATAGGATTTGTAAATTTAATTCATCAATTATATTTTATAATTCTAAAATAATTCTATAGTAATTCTATCAATATTATTATTAAAAGTATTATTATTAAGGTTGCTAAATGAAACCTAGAGATTGTCTAAATAGAAAAAGGTAAAATTAAGTGAAATTATATTAAACTTTATTAAAAATCTACAAAATTCTGAAAAAGGTAAAACTATATCAAAGCTTATAAAAATATGAAACTATATCAAAACTTTAATAAAAAATTAGTAAAACTATAGTTTAGACATTTTGTTAAATCTAAATAAGTTTAAACAAACAACCTTAATTACTACTATTATAGTTTCAATCAAAACCATTTTCTTTAAATCAAGTAATATACCTATTTTTTAATAATATTTAATTATATTTAATTTTACAATTTTTTATACTTTAATTATCAATATTATAATAATAAATATATTAATTAATAATAAATTAAAGATATTTTTAAATCATATTATTCTATAATAATAATTTTTTATATTAAACTTAAAATTATAAATATATAAAATAAATAAATATTAAAAAATAATAAAAATTTAATTATTATTTTAAAACTATTAATAATACTAATATTTAAAATTATAAGTAAGAGTCATATTAGAAAAAATAAATATATATTAATATTTAAATAATTAAATTCTATCTATTAAATATATAAATATATTATTTACTTATAATAATATAATATCATTGGATTTATTTTAGTTATCTTAATATTTAAGTTAAAAGATTATTGAAATTAATACTATATATAAGAGTTTTTAACTTTAGAATTTTCTTTAAGTCTTATAAATATCTATTATACTTGAATCTACTTAACAATTTATTACATTTTAAAATTTAAGATATATTTAATCAAATTTATAATGATAAACTCAAAAGTAAGTTAGTATAAATATCATAATAAATCTTAGATAAGGAATAATATTAAAGAAAATAATTTGTGTAGTTTAAATTAATTTTTTTTATTAATTATTTAAAATTCATAAAAGAATTAATCTACAACTTAAACAAAAAATAATATATTTTATAAAAAATATTTTATTGAATTTAATCATTTTACTAAGTTATAAAATAATAAAAACTTATAAAATAAAATCTAATAAAAATATAATAAAATACTAAAAATAATATAAATAATAAAAATAATAAAAATAATAATTATAGTAAAATAATAAATATATAATGAATATATCAAATAAGTTTCACAAATTTTATAAATTAGATAAATTAATAAAATTTTTTAATGTAATATGTCAATTAATTTTGATGATATAATGCAAGACCTTTTTTAATATGATTTACATGAAATTAAATCTAATGACTTTTATAAATCATTTTTCTAAAACTAATTTTCAAAGTTAACAATAATAATAAGTAAAATAAATATAAATATTAATTAGTTAATTTTAAAAGCTTATAATATGTTAATTATAAATACTAAAAATTATAATTTTATATTCATTTTAAAACCTAAAACTTGAAAAGTAATCTATATAAATTTAATATTTAATTAATATACAAATTTTTATAGAATTTAGTAATCTATATCTAAAGCTTTAAACAGTTTAATTCAGTCTGAATTAGATGTCAATCTGTATCTAAACTGAAAATTTCAGTTCAGTTCAGTTCAGATTATTAATCTTAAAAATATTAATCTGAATCTATACTAAATCGCAGACTGGTAAAATCTGAACTAAACTGAAATTTTTAGATTAATCTAAAATTACAGTTCGATTATATGCGAATTTTGAAGAAATTCACAATTAATATGTAAAACTCTAAGAGAATTACAAAAAATCATGAATTTTTTTTTGAGATTTGCAAAAAATTGCAAAATTTGATGAGTAATCACAAAAATTTGCGATTTTTCAAGATTTTTGTATTTTTTGCAAAATTTGAAAAGAAATCACAATTTTTTGTGATTTTTCAAGAATTTTGAAATATTTTTTTTACGAAATACTAAAAGAAATTGCAAAAATTGTGATTCTTCATGATTTTCATAATTTATTTGCAAAATTTAAAAAGAAATCACAATTTTTGTGACTTTTTAAGAGTTTTACAATATTTTGTAAAATTCTAAGAAAAATCGCAAAAAATTGTGATCTTTCAAAAGTTTCGCATATAATCAAACTGAACTTTCAGATTAATTTAAAATTATCAGTTCAGTTCAGAATTTTTTTTAGTTTAAATTAGAATTATAATTTGAAAAAAATCTGAATTGAATTGAAAATTTTCAAATTGATTTTTATACAATCTGAAACTAATCTGAACTGAACTGATTTGAAAAATCTTCAGATTAATCTGAACTGTTCAAAGCTTTATCTATATTAAAATTTCTTAATAAAATATTGAATATAAAAAAATTTTTAAGCTATTCTGTTATCATAAAATTAATACTAATATTAGATTCTAATACTCTATAATATAATAATTTTAATAAATTAAATTCATTAAAATTAAATAGATTTTATTTTAGATATAGCAATATATTTATTATTAAAATAATCTAACTCAATATAAAAATCCTAAAAAAATAAATATAAAAATATAAAAATAAAAATACTATCTAATAATTATTATTAATTTATTTAACTTCTATTAGACTAAATGATTATTCTATTAGATTTTAATAAAAATTACTAGTAATATTACTATTCTATTTACATTAGCGGTCATAAGTATCTGACTGCCTAAGATCATCCAAAATTATTATATAACTACCCCTTAAATTTTCTAAAAATATAATGTAATATAATACATGATCACCTATAAATTTATAAGTATCAATAAAACAAAAAAAATTTAGATAATCATCAAATTTTCGCTTAAAAAATGGAGTTTTCTTTAGAAAAATGATATAAAATTATTCTTTTACATAAACATCTAGCTAGTTTAAAGTTTAATTTTATATTTATTGCTAAACAGATACGTTGTAGTAAATTTACAGCTATTTATTAAGTTAAAAAATATCATGAAAATTGGGATCTAAGTACTTCAAAAAGATTAGAATAGCTTTGTATAATAATCATGAAATAAAATAATAAGATTATAAAGATAATAGAGAAAAAATATAATATAATAACCATTTAAATACAAGAAAAAATAGAAGAAAAAGATGTTAGGCTTAGTGTAAAAATAGTAAGGTGATGTCTTTGTAAGTCTAGAAAAAAGTTTAGTAATAAAATTTCTAAACCTTTACTTAAAGAAAACCATTGAAAGAAAAAGTTGCAATAGGCAAAAAAACATAATAATTTTGATTGAAATTGAATTATTTTTATAAATGAAAGTACATTTCAATTATATATATCAAAAA